TGAAAAAAAAAAAAAAAAAAGGGAAAATGAAGAGAGAAGTAAAGTGTCTGGCTTGCAAGGGCACTAAAGTCTAGCTCCCAACCCATACTCTTCAGGGAGACTGAGGAGACCAGGGGAGCAGAAGAGGTCAAAAGTTCAAAAAAAAAAAGGTGAGCTGATCAATAAGTCCAGAAACTCGAAGTTCAAGACATGGAGTGTGACGTTCGCCGGGACTTGGGAGCACGAGCCTCAAGCACAGGTGAACTCTTGGGGTGGCCGCACTAACAGTGAGCCTCAGCAGGCGCCACATCCGCCGCCACCTTCCGTTCTTAGCCCGCCTTCCGAAGGCGGGAAGCGGCCAGAGGCGCACACGCACCTGCTGCAGAGACCCCGAGACGCTGGAGGATGAGTCGGTGCTTCTCCGCTTCCGGCGCTCCCCGCGCTCCCCGCGCTCCCCGAGGCTCCCGCCCCAGCAGCTCCCGCCGCTCCCGCCGCCCGTGACACTTCCACTGAAGCTGGTATTCCCACAGCAGCTGACGCTCCCGCAGCCGCCGGTGCTCCCGCAGCCGCTGGTGCTTCCGCTGCCGCAGCTGGCGACGGTCGGCACGAGATCCGGGGCCGCGAGTGCCGCGGCCGCCTCCTGACTGCTGCGTTTGCGCCGCTTCTCTCGGGAAGATTTCTTCCCCGTCATGATCCCTCTGCGGCAACCATCCGGGGAAAGTCGGCCGTCTGCCGAGCGTCTTAACCGCGGCTCCTCCGGCAGCGGGCGGCGACACTGGCGGCGCAGGCTTTGCGTCATTTCCGGCCTCGGAACAGAACGTGGGAGGTGTTTCTGGAGGTGGAGCTTTTGCGAATCCGAAGGTCGTCTTGCGTTTGTGGGCAGGTGGGTAGGTTGTGTAATGGAGGGTTTTTTCGGTTGTTTTAATATGTCTAAAAAGGACGAAAGGTGGAACTTTACAGCAGATCTTTGACTTACTGATACTTCTTTTCAATCTTTGTCAATAGACAAACATATACTTCCCGACTCTGCATTTCCTTTTATCTCCAAATTGTATTTATGGTAATGTTACAACAACAAAGAATTTAGGGGGGAGTGGTTTCATTTCATTATCATCGTCAAGTGGGAAAATTATTTTTTTAAAATGTGTTTTAGGGCCGGCCCGTGGCTCACTCGGGAGAGTGCGGTGCTGATAACACCAAGGCCCCGGGTTCGGATCCCACATAGGGATGGCCGGTTTGCTCACTGGCTGAGCGTGGTGCTGACAACACCAAGTCAAGGGTTAAGATCCCCTTACCGGTCATCTTTTAAAAAAAAAAAAATGTGTTTTAGGGAATTGTACAGGAATGCGGGTCTTGTGCTTCCTTGTTTTTCCCCACTAATTTCTAGGCATGTTAAATAAGTTACATCATTTCCTTCATGGTATTTTTGTGCCACACCCCACCCCCCCAAAATGATCAAATGACATCAGCATCTTCTTTTTTTGTCCTGTTTTATTGTATTCCTTTGAAAAAGAAGGGCTGGGTCAATTTAAAATGTCACTCATACACTGAATTCTTTGTTTAAAATTTGTTCTAACATATGATAATATTAGACTTTTAACTTGCATTCTCGATTTACAGTGTTGAATACTTTTCCACTGATTAGAACACTGTGAGAAATTCCCTCACCCATCCAATGGCAAAGGATGGACACAGAAACACAAGGTACATTGAAGTGAGACTTAAATATCAACCTTGCAAGTTCGGGTGTCTGTAAATAGGAACAGGCATGCCTGAAACAGTCACAGCCAGCAATTTATTCCCTAGTGCACAAGTCCCTCCCCCCAGTTCCTCATTGGTTGAGTATTCCTGGATGGACAATCTTCCTGAATGTCACCTGAGATTTATTACCCCTTTGAAAGGTATTCCTTTGTCTGAGGGCTCAGGACAATCCATCAAAAAAGATGCGCTAAAGCCCTGTGAAGGGAGAAACACCAGGGAATGAAGAAAACAAAAGGGGCTAGTAACTAATTACCATCTCAAGGGGAGCTCTATCTATTCAGCAACCCTCTGGGAAGGGGGCTGAACCAGTCAGTTTTGGGGTTGGGCCTGCTAAATACCTCTCTGAACCAGTTAAACACCCTCAGTTAAGTCATTTCTTTTTTTTTTGTTTGTTTGTTTGTTTTTTTTTTTTTTTTTTTTTTTTTTTTTT